AAATCCTTAGATTTACGACGAGCCGCAGCATGAAGTTCCTTATTCTCTGGAGTCAAGTGTTCGGCCACAAAGACAGGATGCTTTTTCTCCCCGCCTAACCCCAGGTGACTCGTATTCAGCTTCTCGGTGGAATTCTTTTTATTGAATAAAGAAGTTGCTGCCAAGAAATTGTCTCTGAGGCGAGGGCTTCTCAATTTCAATAGTATAGACCTCGGTCTAGTGCTATTCGCATTCAGTTTCGCTACTCTAGAACAATAGTGTATATCGCTATCATTTACAGGGCATTTAATAACTTTAGCTAGCTGCAATACCATATTGGTTAAGTTTTCCTGCTTGTGCTCGGGTACGCATTGAATTTCCAAATTGGACGAACGGGATCTTTGATCGAGCTGACGAAGCCTGGCAGAGAGCTCTTGTGTAGTATTGCGCAAAAAGTCATTGTCTTTGCGGAGGGCGGCGACAGTATCAGTCTGCGCGGCTACAGCGGTCTTGATTTTCTCAAATTCCTCATTAAAAAATGATATTGACGCTTCCAATGTTGACATGCCCTTTCTTATCTCTTTTAGTTCAGAGTTAATTTCTGTTCTAACAATTTGATGTAATTCCTCCCTCACTACGGCTCGAATGTCAGCTGCAGTTAGACATGAGCAACTTTGAGCGGGTGGGGGAGAGGAGAAAGACGTGCTTGACTTTTTCTTGGCTCGAAGGGTGACATTGTCATATTGAGGAACGGTGGAGGGCCCCGCGGGCGCCGGCCGTACGGGAGTGTCACAGTTACTGCCGGTTTTAGGCTCCTTACAACGACATGTTAGGCAAATCCATGAAGACTTAAAATCAGCCGTAAAGCTTCTATAATCATCCGCCGAGAAATTCATACATGAATAATGGTATTGCTCCTTGCAGCGACAACAATGTAGAAAGCTAATACCCTTCAAAACATTTGGGCAAGCAGCGCATCTATTGCTTTTGTTAGGCATTTTGTAGAAGGTAGACGGGCGGCGCGTTCGGCTGTGTGTAGATTAAATCGCTTTAAGCGATGTAAAGCTCCTGCCGTCCAGCGCAACAGAATCTGCGCAGCGATATTGTAGTACTGAGCCGCTGACTCGTGTAACTAGTATGGTCGCGGCGAAAAGGTCGTAAGCGCCGTGCGATACGCGTCGCTTACGCGTAATACTCAAAGCACTGCAGATTGTGATTAATGTCCAGCAAAACAATAACACTCGCCTATTATTTTTCAAGAAAACTGCACTTATGAGCACTAAAAACTTTCAATTCATAGTTCACATCGTAGATAGTTAGATCAGGTTTGCTTGGCACTATTCTTCTTGTAAGAAATCACTGTGTTTACCACTGATAAACGTTTTTATATTGGAGAGAAACAAAAATGCTGTTGCTTGTTAAACTACCGACTCTGTACCTTTTATCACAAATTTAATGTTATTTACCCAAAGATTTTTACAATGCTACTTCCTTCGTAGGTTCTGCGAATACAAGGAAGGATCTGCAACTGCCGACCGCTGGAGTTCAATACTCGACTGCTGGAGGTCTCTACTTCGGTTGGAGCTAAGGTAAGAAGAACCAGAAAATTTTATTAGCTTAGTCCGAAAATTCACAAGTCTACCCAATGATTGTCAAAATTGAACTGAGACTATTATAATGGCGAAAGTAAGTCTGTTGGTCTGACTTTTACCTTTTCACGCTTAAAACACTTAACCAATTCAGATGTTTGGTAGGTTTTTAGACATAGGATAGTTTTATTCCAGTTTTAGAGTGTTCCAACCCACGGAGGCGAATTATTAAGTAGAATGAAAGAAAAAAAAGTTCAACTATTGCTCAATATACTACCTACCTATCTGTTGGCGATTAATATAATAATAATAACTTTATTTATTTCTCTCTTTACAAAATACATGAAGTCACAATTTGTAACGGGTAATTATAACAACAAGGAACAAAAATAAGTATTTCGTAGAGACTGGTGTCCGTACTAGGATACCCTGTGCTACAGCACACCAGGCCTCCACCACCGGCTAATCGATACTGCGTGGTTGTGTTAATCTATTTAAGGTAAGTATTTTATATTAGAAACAAACTAAAAATAAAATAAATAAAAAAATAGAATGATAACATGTGATTTACACAAATAGGCAAAATAAATGATAAGAAGTACTATTTCAAAAATTTAAACTTTAACTTTAAAAGCAATCTTTCTTTCTAATCTTTTGTGTAAGTGTGTGTGTGTATGTGCGTGCGCCCTATCACAACGTTTGCAATGATCGTTTGAACTAAGCCTCTCCGGGCGCGCCATTCAACGCTTCGTTAACAACAAAACTGAAAATGGCTCTAGATTTGTAATTTTGATAAAAACAAGTTAGATTTCAAATAAAAACAAAAGATTTCGAAGTAAAATAAGCATTTTAGTTAAAATTAAAATTGTCTCTACCTGTAGCGGAGAATAATGTTGTGGCAGGCCTTTGTTCAAACGATCATAGCAAATGTTGTGATAGGGATAGAGACATGCGATTTTTGGTTTTACAAAGATAATACGATAGAAAATAATACAAAGTAATAAAAACCACCGGTTAAAGGGGCATTTTTTTGAGAAATTTATAAAATAACCAAAAAAACACGAATTTTTAAGCAGATTTTTTTCAAAAAGTATCATTTTTTATTATTTGTTGGCATTTTTTGTGTATTTTATGTATTTTTTTAGTATCGCCTGTTATTTAGCATTATTACTGTTTTTATTTTATCAGGATATACCGCTTAGTTTTAAAGTTATTACGTTTTCTTTACAATAAGTAATTTGAAGAAAAAAAAATCTATAAAAAATAAAAAAAAAAACTCAAAAAAATTTTGAACTCTTTTTTGTCGATAAAAATAGGTTTAGTTTCATTTATTTTCATATGTACACTTTAACGTGACTCACACTGTATATTAAGTAAACGATTAATTTTGTTATACATATAGATATGGTCCCAAAAAGCAAAAGAATTTTTTGGCAAAAGTTGTTCTAAACCCTTTAAGAGTACATACAATATCTTTACGTCTAATTAGTTGTGTGATTAGACCTGGTAACTGTGCTCGGTGCTCCTATCGAGACTATTCCCACCTCTCGTTCCCACCGCTGCAACTCCTGTGTAGCCAGGATCTACAGCTTGACCGCCAATAACCCAACCAATGAAGGCCAAGTTTGTCCCGGGGAAAAGTCCTCGGCCTCGTTGCTACTAGGCTAATATGTAATAACAAGACAGCGTATGCCTTGTTGGGGAGGTTAAAGTGTTACCATCGGTGCAATCACTATCTGACTTCCTTAATGGATTTCACACGACATCATGTGCTTCATCGACTGGATGGAACACAACCGCACCTGCACTCCAAGTTTGAACCATCTGAGATCGAGACATGAGTCGTGCCCTGCGTGCCCAAACAACTGCACGCAGGAAGACTTATCGCTATCATAGGCCAATGACAGGTCGCGCGGACTGTCATGGGTCGCCCGACCTGTCATTGGCTTATGATCGCCAACTCTTGTAGCAGAGTTTTGGACTGATACCGTGTAGGTTTGTTGTCGACACGAGAAGAAGAAAGAAGAAGACTGAATTTTACCTGAATTTCTGTTCCTAGATGCTAGTCCGCCGCGTGCGCCTCCGTCTAGCCGAGATCTACACAGCGCTGGGTGACAACAACGCGGCCGCCCGCCAGAAACGTTCTGCGGCCACCTGGTCGCTGCCTACTTGTGCTCGGTGCCGGGAGCCTCTAGCGGATAGGCCAGAGCCTTTGGCGTCGCTACCGTGCGCTCATATCGTTCACCACGCGTAAGTATTGCTTTTCCTTTTTTAGATTTTACAAGATTTGTCGTAAGTATTTTTCCAAAATACTGTCTAGGGTTTGTAGCTGAAGGTCAAAGCTGTAAGATAGAAGGTTTTTCTTGCCAAAAAGATGGCGGATTTCAAAGATGTTCACGGATTTAGAATCAAGTGCTGGAGCCCAAATTGCTCCTTGAGGTACTCCCTAACCTAATTTAACGGACGAAGAATGTTACTGGTCTCTGCCCACTTGCGCTCGGTGCCGAGAGCCTCTAGCAGATAGGCCAGAACCTTTAGTTTGGCATCGCTACCTTGCGCTCATATCGTTCACCACGCGTGAGTATTGTTAAAAATTCCACGAAAACACAAATTATTTTTCAAAAATATAGCATAGGATGCGTAGGTAGTTAAAGGTCTAAGCTACATGGTGGATGAATCATCTTTCCAAAAAGATGGCGGATGAAGAAGATTTCAACGGATTTAGAAATAGAGTTCATATTGATCCTAGTGGAACTCCATTTTTACTGGTCTGTGCCCACTTGTGCTCGCTTCAGGAAACCCTTAGTTCATCGGGTTGAGCCTTTGGCATCGCTGCCTTGCGCCCATATCGTTCACCACGCGAAAGTTTACACCTATTTTTGGACGGTTTTGTAGTTATTTTTCAAAAATATTTAGTTATTATATCTTTATAGCCAAGGGTCTAAGTTTCAAGGTGAAAGAAGTTTAAAGCCAAAAAGATGGCGGATGCAGCAGAAGTCAACGGATTTAAAACCAAGAGCGTGCATGCTCAAATCGCTCCTTTTGGAACTCCATAATTTTCTTACCATAAAGTTTGGGAGTGCAGCAGATTTCAAAGGATTTCGAAAAACTCATTAAAACTCATTTATTTCTGTAAATAGGCTTAAAAAAAGCACTTTTACAAAACAATAATGTACCAAATTGCTCCCTTTTAGCCTAGGCGCAGACCACTGATTTTTAATCGGCCGATAGTTGGACCCGATTTTAATTTGTATGAAAATCATATCGGTGTAATACATGCCCATACTGATCAACTGCCCGACTAAACTATCGGCCGACGAAAAATCGATGGTCTGAGCCTAGGTTATGACTTTAAAACACGAAAATAACTTCTATTTCTCACGACTTTCTGATATGATTATGTTTGTTCAATGTTAAGCTTCATATAATTATAGTATAGTATATTGAGTTACCGATAGATGGCGCTGTCTGTAGGTTGAATCGCGGCATGTAAGTTTTAGACGGCCCCTACATATACTCAAATTTGGTTCGGAATAAATGAGACTTGCCACTGGAATCTTGGTTTTATTCAAGTTACTATCTGTGGGCTTTTTGGGCCTTGTACAATGTTATTGTCAGGATTTTTAGCTTTACCATCTGGTTTGTTATCCACGGATTGAATCATGTTTTGTCAGGATTTAGCTTTCAAATTTAAATATCAACAGATGCATGCCAGAATCCTGGTCCCGTCGCTCCGGTCGCAGTACAACCGGAGCCCCAGACTGCGCGGAATGTGCTTCACCTCGTGCACCCCGCGCTCCACCACCTGCCCCTCCCGCGCCTATTGCTCATCCCCATCAGGTATGTATTGACGCTACAGGACGCTACATTACTCTACACGACTATATTATGACACGAAAAGGCGCTTCATGACGCTATATTACGCTACATGGCGCTACACGACGCTACATGAGGCTGTACGACGCTACATGACGCTACATGAGGCTACAAGACACTATAAGACATTTCATGACGCTACTAGACGCTACGTGACGCTACTAGACGCTGACGATACATGACGCTACAAGACTCTATAAGACGCTACAAGACACTATAAGACGCTACATGACGCTACACGACGCTACATGACGCGACAAGACACTATAACACACTTCATGACGCTATAAGACACTATAAGACGCTACACGACGCTACAAGACACTATAAGACACTTCATGACGCTATGACTATAATCAATACTCTTTAAAATGACGCTACACGACGCTACATGACGCGACAAAACACTATAACACACTTCGTGACGCTACGTGAGGCTACAAGACACTATAAGACGCTACGTGACGCTACAAGACACTATAACACACTTCATGACGCTACATTACGCTACAAGGCACTATAAGGTGGGCCAATAGATGTGTCCAGAAGTGTATAACACGACAAGACGACAAGCATCCTGGACCCGTCGCTCCGGTCGCAGTACAACCGGAGCCCCAGACTGCGCGGAATGTGCTTCACCTCGTGCACCCCGCGCGCCACCACCTGCCCCTCCCGCGCCTATTGCACATCCCCACCAGGTATGTTAACGGTAGAACCTTTGTAGTAGAATTTCTATACAAAGTAACTATTGTCTATCTGTCGAGCAGCATGAAAACACGTGTAAATTAAATAGGATATTTGACACCACCAATCAATTGACGTACTTTTTAAAACTGTCAAAACGACACTCGCCCATAGATTTTGTACGGCAATACTAGCATGTGACGTCACAATTTTATCAACTCAATGAAAATACTTTTTTCAATTATAATGCAACCAAAAATAGTAATTTACAGGTAATTAAAAATTAATTAAGTTTTTAAGACCAGAAAGAAGTGTCTTTCTAAAAAAGTTGTGCTTTAGAATTATTGGGAAATGGTGTCAAATACCCAATTATTTAGTACGATGGCCAAGTCAATATGTATATTTATGTAAAACGTTAAAGATTTCCTGGCCTGGACTTGGTTATTACATGGATCTCACAACTTTTTACCGTAGAACAACTGAGTTGCGAGACTTGGTTTTTTTGACAAGTATTGTTTTTGATGGAATTGTTATTAGAGTAGGATAGACGTGAGCGAGACAAAGATAACAATTGTCCGTTACTTTGATTGTGTGAGCTCATGCCTCAGTCGCCGTTTGAACACGCTATTACTGTCACGTTTGGATCGAGCTCTGTGTTTCATTTGCTGATCTGCTTTTCGACGTTAATCAACCCCGCGTCCTGTCTTCTACAAAGATGACGCTACATGACGCTACACGACGCAACAAGACACTATAAGACACTTCATGACGCTATGACTATAATCAATACTCTTTAAAATGACGCTACACGACGCTACATGACGCGACAAAACACTATAACACACTTCATGACGCTACGTGAGGCTACAAGACACTATAAGACGCTACGTGACGCTACAAGACACTATAAGACACTTCATGACGCTACATTACGCTACAAGGCACTATAAGGTGGGCCAATAGATGTGTCCAGAAGTGTATAACACGACAAGACGACAAGCATCCTGGTCCCGCCGCTCCGGTCGTAGTACAACCGGCGCGCCAGACTGCGCGGAAAGTGCCTCACCTCGTGCACCCCGCGCTCCACCACCTGCCCCTCCCGCGCCTATTGCACATCCCCACCAGGTATGTAATATGACGCTACATTACTCTACACGACTATACAGGGTGTTAGGTAAATGGGTATATGAGCCGACACTAGCCCATGTTAACATGGTCATATAAATGGTATGGTGAAGTCAGAAATTTGATTTCATCATTTTATTTTTTTAATTTTCATACAAAATAAATTTTATAAAATCCGATTTGTATGAAAAATAAAATTATTAAAATGAAGATATAAATTTTCTGACTTCACCATACCATTTATATGACCATGTTAACATGGGCTAGTGTCGGCTCATATACCCATTTACCTAACACCCTGTATTATGTCACGACAAGGCGCTTCATGACGCTACACGACGCTACATGTCGCTACATGACGCTACACGACGCAATAATACGTTACATGACGCGACAAGGCGCTACATGACACTTCATGACGCTATGACTATAATCAATACTCTCTAAAATGACGCTACACTACGCTACATGACGCGACAAGACACTATAAGACACTTCATGACGCTACACGACGCTACATGACGCGACAAAACACTATAACACACTTCATGACGCTACGTGAGGCTACAAGACACTATAAGACGCTACGTGACGCTACAAGACACTATAAGACACTTCATGACGCTACATTACGCTACAAGGCACTATAAGGTGGGCCAATAGATGTGTCCAGAAGTGTATAACACGACAAGACGACAAGCATCCTGGACCCGTCGCTCCGGTCGCAGTACAACCGGAGCCCCAGACTGCGCGGAATGTGCTTCACCTCGTGCACCCCGCGCGCCACCACCTGCCCCTCCCGCGCCTATTGCACAGCCCCATCAGGTATGTTAACGGTAGAACCTCTATAGTAGAATTTCTATACAAAGTAACTTTGTCTATTCGTGTAGACAATAGTTACTTTGTATTTCAGTCTACTACTACTTGATTTCAGTCGGCCGTTTGGTGTAGTGGTTCGAATCGGATTACTATTCCGGAGGTTGCGGGTTCGATTCCCGCACAGTACAAACATTTGTGTGCATGAACATATTTGTTTGTATTGGACTGGGTGTTTTCTATGTATAATATGTATGTATTTACAAAAAAAAAAAGTATTTAAGTATGTTTATATCTGTTGTCTAGTACCCATAGTACAAGCTTTGCTTAGTTTGGGGCTAGCGGCGCAGTGTAAAATGTCCAAGGATATTTATTTATTTTATTTATTTATTTATTGTTATTAGAGTAGGATAGACTAAGGCGTGAGCGAGACAAAGATAACAATTGTCCGTTACTTTGATTGTGTGAGCTAATACCTCAGTCGCCGTTTGAACACGCTATTACTGTCACGTTTGGATCGAGCCCTGTGTTTCATTTGCTGACCTGCCCTTCGACGTTAATCAACCCCGCGTCCTGTCTTCTACAAAGAGGACGCTACATGACGCTACACGACGCTACAAGACACTATAAGACACTTCATGACGCTATGACTATAATCAATACTCTCTAAAATGACGCTACACGACGTTACATGACGCGACAAGACACTATAAGAGACTACAAGACACTATAAGACGCTACTAGACGCTACACGACGCTACATGACGCTACTAGACACTGACGCTACATGACGCTACACGACGCTACAAGACACTATAAGACGCTACAAGACGCTACAAGACACTATAAGACGCTACTAGACGCTACATGACGCTACTAGACACTGACGCTACACGACGCTACAAGACACTATAAGACGCTACAAGACGCTATAAGACGCTATAAGACGCTACTAGACGCTACATGACGCTACATGACGCTACATGACGCTAAACGACGCTACATGATGCTAAAAGACACTATAAGACACTTCATGACGCTACATGACGCTACATGACGCTACATGACGCTACAAGACACTATAAGAGTGACGCGACTATACTCTCTAAAATGACGCTACTAGATACTTCATGATGCTACTATACGCTACATGACGCTACATGACGCTACATGACACTACTAGACGCTGACGCCACATGACGCTACATGACGCTACACNTGATGCTACTATACGCTACATGACGCTACATGACGCTACATGACACTACTAGACGCTGACGCCACATGACGCTACATGACGCTACACGACGCTACAAGACACTATATGACGCTACAAGACACTATAAGACGCTACATGACGCTACACGACGCTACATGACGCGACAAGACACTATAACACACTTCATGACGCTATAAGACACTATAAGACGCTACACGACGCTACCAGACGCTACATGACGCTACTATACTCTATAAAATGACGCTACATGACGCTACATGACGCTACTAGACGCTGACGCTACACGACGCTACATAAGGCTTTACGACGCTGTCACACGACCAGACGCTACGAGACTCTAAAATATGACTCGACAAGACGCTACATACCATTATAATATCGCACCTTTAAAGTTAAACCGTTACTAAACGAATTTTTCGCAAAAATGAGTTATCAACGCCATCTTACTAAAGGACACGTAAACTACAAGATAAAATAGACCACTTCTTCAAAATTGCCTTCTAACGCCATCTAGCGTTAAAGCATAACGTTACTAAGCCAAACTTTGAACGGCTCGCTAAATACAATAACGGGTCTATGCAAGTAAGAACGTGTTTGTTGCGGAGTGATGACGAAAGTTTAAATTCATAGTGTGATTATTTGGATAGTAACGGCCGTTCGTCACAAAAAAGGTAAGTTGTTTAGTTTTTTTAATGAGTAAAGTGTGACTATATGTTTAAACACAGTTTTCGTTTAAAAAAATACACAATTCATTATAAAATTTCTTTGGTAAACGGTAACAGTTAGTATAGTCACAGTTTGCCTTTATTTTTTTAGGTACTTATCTAATAATATTTATCACTAAAGGGTGCCTATTTCGTTAATTACAGTTTTTCAATAAGCAATGAGTAAATTTTATGATAGGTATGCCTAGTTACAATAGTGAAACATTTTTTTTACTCTATAATAAATTATAGATTAAGAGCATTTATTTGCTCCAAGTGATGTCGTATTTCCGGAACCCACGTTTGGCTCGCATTATGGAAGCTGTGGACGCTGAAAAAGATTCCCCATGTTTCGAAGAACCCAAGCAAACATCTATGGACGAACTTAATATAATTTTAACTATAATTTTACACAAGATGCAAATCCGATACGTCATTCCGATCCGCGGCTTGCGCCAGTTCTCGTTTGCGAAGGAGAGCGGCGTGAGGCTTTTGTCAACTGCCGCAACATCACGATGCATTCCGCACTCATTGGTAAGGAAATAATCCCTGAGACTGCACACTTCACGGTTGTGGAGGTTCTTGGCATTTAAAAAGCCTCGACCTCCCCACTTCCGTGGAATATACAGTCTCATTACAGATGAGCGCGGATGTAACATGCGATGTTGTGTGAGCTGCTGACTGTCTTGATTGTGATCTGTCTTCTACCGATATACCTAACGATTCTGACATACCAAGATACTTATAGGTCTCAGTTTCGGACAGAGATTTGAGTGTCATTGTCTCAGAAAGTTGTAAATTCGGAGACACTTGTCTACACCAAACTCCATCCTGATGGCGTTGCTAAATACCTGTGTGGTTTTTAGCAACTTCACCAGGTCTTGTCGTTTTGTTGCGAACAACTTGGGATCATCCATGTAGAGCAGGTGACTAATGACCTCACCCCCTCTTCGTAGCTGATAACTAAGCCCTGAATCCTTTAACAGAGTGCGAAGAGGATTCAGTGCTAGGCAGAACCACAAGGGACTCAAACTGTCACCCTGGAAATGCCTCGCTCAATCCTTATGAAGTTCAATGGATCAGGAGACCTCTCACCACCACCTGGCTGCCGAAGGACTGTAGTCCACTGCCCCATGCATGAGCATGAGCGTAAAAAGGATCTCATTGCTTCTACTTTACACAACTTTAAGATCCTCTCCCGCCATGATTGAGGCACCGAATCATAGGCCTTCTTATAGTCAATCCAGGCAGCAGAGAGAGCTTTCCTGCTCCACCGAACTTGTTGGCTAATGGTTATGTCTATGAGGAGGAGCTCTTTAGTACCACGAGACTCAACCTTACAACCATTCTGAGCAGTGGCCACAAAACATTGTTCATTATTTTTATTATTAAGTGATTTAAGGTAGGTATGTGAACAACCTTTCAAGGGTAGGGAAATAATGCTGAGATTGTTACTTGAGTTTAATATATTTTTATGTATTTTTTGTAATTGCTAGGTGTGTTTTTTTCTTATTCGTTATCAGTTATACTTCCTATGATTTAAAGGTACAAAATGTCTTAAGACTGATTAATAAATAACTAGGCTAAATGCTTGTATGGATATCTTTAATTTGTAATAAAATATTGTTGATTTCGAATGTTTGTTATTTTTTTAATATTGTAACATCATCACAAATACCTACTCTATGATATAAAATTTAAATGTATAATAATATCACCATTATCATTGAAATTTAAATAGTTTTCAATATAGTAACATTATTTGGACTGCAATTTGAATAGTAATTTATTTAAAAATGAAAAAATAGTAAATGGTAAAGTGTTACTATAATTATTATAAATCAAAATAAATAATACTATACATAAAATATTTTATTTTTGTAAATCACATAACATAGCGTTAGCACATATCTATCATATAACTCATTAAGAAGCCTTAAAATACTATTTCCTTTGACTGTATTGAAAAAAAACATTGACTTTTTTCTTATTTTGGCTCTCCTGCAAAGTTTCATAATTTCGTTTAGTAACGGTTTAAATTTAAAGGTGCGATATAATACGCGACAAGATGCTACACGACGCTAAAAGTCCCTAAATAAATGACGCTACAGGACGCTACACTACGCTACACTACGCTACAACGCTACACGAGGGTAAAATTAAAATTAACAAGGCTTTCTTTCCAGGACTTCCCCTTCGGGACTCCGCCTACACTGCGCGACTCGGATCTGAACTCCATACTCTCTGATCATAGCAGCCAACAAGCCACCTCGAGCGTTTAACTTACTCGACTGCAGAGAAGATGGCCATGTTGTCAATAGTTCGAATGCGGCATACGCTTTGTTACATCATAACACAATTCACCTCGACCCCTCCAGCGTCTTAACTATTTACCCGACTGCAGAAAAGAGAGCCATGTTTTATATACTGGTATCACAATTAAATATTCCGTACCCCAGTCTGTTCAACCAGGCCCCTCTTTCCCAATGGGCACTTTGGGCACTTGCCCAGGTACCGAAGGGGCCCCCATCTGCTAATAAGACCTTTTTCCAGATGATAAGGGAAAAACCGAAAAAGATCTTATTAACCTTAATCCTTTAATGCCCAGGGCCCCTAGACCCCCTAGTAGGTTAAAGACGGCCCTGTGTTCAACTTTTGACCAGTTGACAGCGCCAACAGCGCGGTCTAAACTTCTTACTTGACTGCAGAGAAAAGGGTAATGTTTTACAGGACACGACTTACTTAATTCGTTGATAACGAAATCTTGGCGGATATAAAGGATGGAAAATAAAATTTTCTGTTTAATTTCAAATTCAAATTAACGTTTGCAATAATTTCAAATCGAAAAGATTGACAGCTCTAAAAGACGGTTGCAATGCAAAATGAGATAAGTAATTATTTGCATTTTTGAAGTTACAATGTTCAAGTGAGAAAAAAATATATTGCGAAATTAACGTGATAATTTATTCAAAAAATATATTGATGGAATTGTCGTGAACGATAAAAAGGAACGAATGTCCATATCCTTTTAAATTAATATTGTAATATTAAATATAGGATATGATTCCTTTGAAAATACGCTTTATTATAACCAACTTTGTTTTGTACGGATATATTATTATGTATGTATAATAATTATTATTCATTATATAAATAATAATGATCGGGTATTGGTGTAAATTTAAATGGTATTTAATATACTTACATATTTATTATAACTAACAGTATTATGGGTTTTCGATGAGAATATACGCTTATATTAATGAAAAAAAAAACATTTGTTGCATATTCAATATTTTGTTGTAGGGTATAAAAGTTAGAGGCATTTCTATAGAAATGCTAAATATAGAGATAAATATCATAAAAAACTCTGTGTAAAAGTTTAGTTCAATCTAATAATATCACAAACTGCCAAAATAGGTACAGTCAATTAAGATATAAAAACACAGTAAAATCACTAAAATATAAACGTAAATAGTGTCAGATAGATGCACTGGTTTTGACAATGGGCACATGCAGAAAATGGAGTAGTGGAAAAGTTTCTAAATAATATGTAGGTAATTCAGTATTGACTTTTTTAAAAGCGAGTTATGACCAAATTGGCAAGTTTCTGTAATTAAAATTAAACTTTATTTTTAAAGAAAAAAAGCCCAAATTACAACGAGGGAATTTGTTATTTTGCAGTAGGTTGCTGTGACAAATGTATGTAAGAACCTCATTGAAACTTTTACATTACTCCTGTTAATAACACTAATATTATATTATAAAATATATAAATTCTATCGTCGTTATTGCCGTAATCATATATTATACTGTGGAGTTGTCCAAAGACTGGCAAAGATTATTTAATATTATTATAAATAATCCAGAGATTAATAAAGTATATCTTGTGATTGAGATCAACACGTTTATTTAATTTTTAATTTAAGGAGATTTTATTTAAGACGCATTATAATAATATAAAATAATAGGTAGAACTATTAAAATTACTACATTAGCACTGTGCATTTGACTCTGCAAGAAAACTATTATTGTTGAATAGGGGAATGATGAGACTCGTCTTCTGGAAACGTGTGACTTGAGGGATGTTTTATGGGATTCTTCTTTCTAACGTCTGTATTTTCGGATGTATCTGTCCCTTTTACTCGTATCAAGCTCAACGTAAGTGATAGTGACCTGAAATTAGAGAATTTGTATTGGAAAACAGTAATCTCTTTGAAATTGGTCATCAATATAGGCAAATAATGTAGGAAAATAGTTGCTATTTTAAGATAAATGTAGTGGGTATCACTTACATCATCTCAACCATAAAGTATTCATCAATGCACGCTTTTTAGTGAAAAAATATATACGAGACATATTATAAACAAGTCCTTAACAGTTATTGATCTAAGGTTCAAATTCATGAATTGTTTTTGGATCGCAAAATTAATAAAATATGGTTCAAATTATATTCCTTATTTTCATGGGTTAAAATTATTTGATTTTGCAGAGTCACTTGCAAACTCTATTCCATTCTGACTTGACAAACTTCATACTATATTATGGTATAATTTCTGATGCATTTAATATGTTAGTAAATACTTTTTAGATAGGAAAGATAAATTAAATTTAAGTTTAATAACATTAATGTTTGTCAAGTTGCTGGTATCTTGTCAAAGTGAATTTTGTAATAGATCTTGTCTCTATTTTAACAGTTTTAATTTAAGCAAAGTATTATGTTTATTCTGCCAATTTATATGTTTATAATAAAGTATCATAATTATTGAATAAATATATTTTCAATTTTATGTCAAAGTATTAGTACGTTAATACAAAAACAGTCACTTTAAAGAAAAATATTTATATCACTGTCGTTGATGTTGTGAAACTATTACAAAATTTGCTGATTATAGTCTATTGTGTCCTTCGAATGTATGTACCTGCACATCTAACTACCTACTAACTAACTATACTGTATACTTAAAATTATAACTATTATTGAAAATATGATTTTCAAACGTTGATTCAATCAATGAAAATTTTAAATATAGATTAATACAGGAGATTAGAATATTTATGTTCTGGTATCACTATGTTGAACTATTTAGGCTGTTGGTAAACGTGCTACAGAAATATGTACTTATAGCTAATCTAAAAAGGAATACAAGTTGCCTAAAGATAATTTATTATTATTATATAATTTATCGTACATGGATTCTATGCCATTCAAAAATGGATTGACAGGAATATTATCACACAAAATAGTGTTTTTTAACCATGGTAACTTTCTGTGGCATATTTGTCAATTAAACCCAACAGTATACAATACTAAGGTATCCAAAATTGAAATTCTATCTTTCACACTAAACTAGCTATTAGTAGTATATTGCACACTAGATGTTTCATTCATTTTTTCTTTGTGTAATGTGATATGACTTGGGAAATACACACGGCTTGTCTAAGATCGGTGATTGGAAATCTTTTAGTAGCCTAAATTTAAAAATCATAAATCTACAATTTAACGCATTCTGTTTTCCTATAGAAGTGCCGTCCCATTTGCTACTCGTCACCATTTCTTATTGTCAATTGTACAATTTTATATACCTCTGATCCATCAGTCACTATTATGGCCAAAGTACTAAAGCCAGTATAATATCAATTAAAACACCGCACTAAATCGAAAAGTAGTCACTATCCCTCTCATACAAGCCGTGTGTTCTATCAAATAAATTGATTTAAAACGCAATAATTACATATTGATATATCGCGTGTACGTGAATATTGTATCTGTTATGTGAATTATATTACATCACTGTCAGTATTATTATGTTTTATGTTTGTAATATTAATATGTTGAGGCGATTGGCGTATTTTATGTCTAATTAATGTGATAAAAGAGAATTAAAAGTGAAAACAAATATTTTTGGGTTCACCGCTATTGCCTTTACAGTATTTTCACTTAAATTTTAATGTGGTGGAGTTAATATAATTTAATTCTGTAAAAAGTAACAGAAAGATCAACAATTCTAACACATTTAAAAGCCCAAATCACTATCTCTTACTTTTCAGAAGTTTTTTGTAACCTTAAATAATATTTATTACATAATTAAATAGTCTGTAAATAAATTCAAAAATAATAAGAATAAAAAACAAGGGTTGAGTCTTAATTTGTTACTTTTTATAGAATAAATTTGAACACTAATAAACACGCGTTATTAATAAACAATTTTCTAGCAATAATAATAATAATTTTAATTGTATTATCCTGATTGTTTCTTACTTCTATTTAATATAATTCGTGACGTTTGAATGTACTTAGTGTAATAATAATAACCACGCCAATATACCCGTATGTGATTCTGATGGATAAAGTCATTGTTAAAATAAATAAACATGTAGTTGTGAAATTGGCGTTGTGTTAATCGGTCATAATAGATAAAGTTGAGATTGTGAAATATGATTGATCGTTATATTTTAAAATTTTAATTGAAATATATTAATTTCAAACAAGTGGTATTATTATTTTGAAAATAATGATTTTTGGAGTTACCCCATTTTCGATCTTTGACTGCAAACGGGGAAAAAAGAGTCATGCATGAATTCAGTAATAATAATAATAGATAATTTGTAGTCAAATTAATTCTAAAAGTTGGTTAACTACACTCTTACCCCCTTATTATTAAAACGTTTCATCACCACAGTCTAGTTAAAACTGTACAACTAGGTTGTAACGTTTTATTATTATAGGGGTTAAAATATTTTGTGATGGAGATGTGGTCAAAATAAGTCAAAATATAGAAAAACAAGAAAAAAACTTGAGATGCAAAACTTTTACTAAATTACAGACTATAAGCGCCATCTTTGAAGTCTTAACAACACTTTTTAGCTTTGGTACCAGTAGTAAATTATAGATGGCTCTGCTAACTTTACATAGTACATAGCAATCGTATTATAAATCTTATTACCATGTCTTAAGGTTCACACAAACGTCACTTTTATGCTTGTCATCTGACAGCATTATTCCATTACATGCATTTATCATTCATTCAAAACATTTGTTTTCAGCTTTTTTCTCTTTTGTTGATGATTGAAAATAAAAATATGATATATTTTATAACTTGAACATTATTATTAATTACATCCTGCACCAATTAGTTGCAGGTTTTAATTAAGATAATATTTTTTGGTGGCTGAATAACTGCATGTCGGTGTTCCATTTTAAAAACAAGAGTTGTTTATAAAAAAAAACATTAGTGTATTGATTTTTGTCCCAGTCCTAGGAAATTTGTCGGGAAAATTCCTTTTATTTGTATCAGAGCCTGCGTTTAATTTACAGGGACTACCGAGGTACAGTCCGACGCGTAGAACGCTATAAATATAATCGATAATTTGGTTCTATGTTAGTGTGTACCGAGCCGTAACGCTAACTCCGTGCGATTTCGAGATTTCGCTGCTTTACACAGCATTACAGTTGGAATTACTTTGTTTTAGGCCATAATGAGTGCAATAGCGCAACAAGAATCCTTGGTGAAGGAGAGTCTCTTTCATTTTATTACCAGAAACATTCCCTCGGCCGATTTAAATGTAATTGATGATATAGTGCTCTCCTATGTGATTTCCATACTTGAAGAGGCTTCCCAAGACCCCTGCTTCGATGTCGATGGTAAGAATTTCATTTTATATCAATTTAAACGCTTTCTAGTTGATTTAAAATTCCTGACACTCTTAAAAAGCATATTTTATACTATTTACAGAATCTGAAATTCATGGACCAGTATTGATTTTTTATTTATTATTTCTATAACATTAATCTGACATTTCTATGCCATATGGCAAAATATGATGGACATTTTGTAATAGTTTAAGACCTTATCACGGTACCATATTGCAAGAAATAAATCATTTGCATTTGAATATACATCTTAGCCATCCTGTAGTGTTCTTTAACTATTTTCTTTTGTACTATAAATTTTTGCAATAATTGCATTGGTATATGTCTAGCGTTTAACTCACTCAGTGTCTGAGGTGAGGGAGCGGCACAGGAGGGTGTTTTTGTAACGTCAAACGTCAGCGAGACTTCAGATCTTCAGATTTATACAACATCAAATAAATCGCACCTTCCGCGACGCGAACTTTCAAGATTTTCTTCTGACACAATCATGATGCCCCAACAATATTGGTGTTATTTGAAAGCCCAATAAATAAACTTAAAGAAAAAAACATTTAATTTTTTTTAAAACAATTAACAGGTACCATAAATGTGACTTGAAAAAAGACCTCAGTTTGGGCTCACCTCTGGGACCAAGTAGACCAATTTTTGTGGTTATAAAACCAAATAATAACAGATGGGTAGCGATTAATCCCAATTCAACAGTTTTATAGCCATGAAAGTTGGCTCAAGCGTAACTACCTATTTTTTGAAGAAGTGACTCTGGATCCTTCTAAAAACACATTTTTGGGGTAAAAACCTTTCCTTTAATGAAATGAAGTTTAGAACTAGGCTTTCAAATGGTACCAACGTTGGTGGGAAGTGGGGATGCATACGTTTGATAAGTGCTTGTCGCGGGAGGTGCGATTTACTTGATGCTGAGTGTATGTTCTGTCACGTCATAATATGCCAATGTCACCCCTCCAGTGCCACTCCTATCCCACAGGCACCAAGTTAAACGTTAAACCTACAGACACTTGAGTATATCCCAAGGCAGTAAAGTACAGTAAAGTACGTAAACTCTATTATACTTATGTTGTATTGTTTTGTTAGCCATTGTCTAAACTGGTTTTGTATTTTACATGAGCGTTTTGGTGCTTCTTCATTATAATAAATGAATGGAAATGTGATACCGCACCTAATGCTTTGAATTTTATCAGCTTTACTATGTTTGTATCTTGTTACCTACTTTAGTAAAATTGCAAAGGCGAATCTTACTTATTAAATTAAATTTAGTGATTATAAAAATTAAAGATTACCATAGAATATTTGTGACTGTGTTTCTTCTTCCGTGACTAGCCTTGAAACTAGGGTAAGGGAAAGACTAGGGTTGAAAGAAATTTTATGGGGAATAAAAAAAAACAAATTAAAAATATTAATTTTGTTTAAAAACATGAATAAATAAAAATGTACTCTTTATTGTATGGTATGTGCGATGGACCTGTGTAAATAAATCTTTCTTAAAGTCAGCTTACAGCCCCACTGTGTTACCTTTAAACCTATTCAGAAATATTGTTCCCAACTGTTGCTCTTTGTCTCATTTTGAACAAGAATTCTAGAGAATTAGGGAGTGGCCTCACTGGATATGGAGAGACGTCCACTGCTGGACAAAGGCCTCCCCCAAGGTCCCCACCTGCGCTGCCCGCATTTAGGCGCTTCCCGTGCCTTTTCCGTTGTCGCCACTCCAGATTTTTTCTGCCCCAACGGCCATCAGTTCTACAAGCTATGTGCATATGGTTGTAACTACTAGGTAGTTGGGCGGGCTTAGAACGAGCTTTACCAACCAAATGACGTCCATTACTGGACAAAGGCCTCCCCCAAGGATCTCCACAACGACTAATTTCGCGTTGCCCGCATCCAGGCGTTTCCCGCAATCTTCAATTGATCGTCGTGCCTCTTTCGGTCTATAGTCGCCACTCGAGAACTTTTCTGCCCCAACGGCCATCAGTTCTAAGAGCTATGTGCCTGTCTACTCTTAGACTAGGCGCAGACCACCGATTTTTAGTTGGCCGATAGTTGGGTCGGGCTGTTAATCAGTATGGAGATGTATGAAAGTGCGCACATTACACCGATTTGGTATCGCGATTCTTCAAACAAATTAGAAAGCCCAACTATCGGCCAACTAAAAGTTGGTGGTCTGCGCCTAAGCTTAAGCCATGTCGGTTACTTTGGTTCTCTTACGGATCGCCTCATTTCTGATTCGATCATGGGAAACTCCGTGCATATCACGCTCCATCGCCTTTTGGGTGACCCCTTCTTATGAGGCCTATAATGTGGGACCGCGTTTGTTCCGTAAGTCATTTACGGGCAATATTAGGTCGTTTATTTTAAGCTTTTAAAAAGCGCTTTTACACGTCCCAGAACCCTTAACCCTTGCGCTTCTTTCGGGACAATAATGGGCAAGTGCTGAGTAGAAGCAGCGCAAGAAACTCGGTCACTGTTGTCAGCCTCTTTTAAAATATTGCAGAAGTCATCATCGTCATTTCAGCCATAGGACGTCCACTGCTGAACATAGGCCTCCCCCAATGATTTCCATAATGGATCATAACATTCCAAATGTAATATTTTCTACTTTATAACGTAGTTTTCATCAAAATATAAAGTAGCTTTTGCCCGTGGCTTCGCTCGCGCTATTTTCGGTCTTCTATTATAGCTATAATAGCCTATGTTACTCAGGTATAATGTAGCATTCTAATGGTTATAAATTTTTTGAAATCAGTTGAAGTAGTTTTTGAGTTTATTCGTAACAAACATACAAAAATTCAAATCTTTCCTCGTTAATTATCATGATTAGCAGTGCATTTTTCTTAGCTACTACGCCCCTATTAGCTGTAGGGTGATATTATAATCCCTTTTACTCTCTTAGGGGTTGAATTTTGCAAAATCCCGCTTTAGCGACCACCTACGTTCTAAAAGGAACCCTCATGCAAAATTTGAGACTCCTAGCACATGTAGTTTCTGAGATTTCGTGATGAGTGAGTCAGTGACCTTTCGCTTATAGATAGACATCCATCACAGGGTGAGGTCACCCCCTCCTACCGTTGCATCAAAGGTGCAATTTGGATGGCACCGTCACTGCGCAAGGCTCCGAATCAGTCAATATGCGTCGGCTGCATCGATTGACCGGTCCCTAGATTTATTGCATGTAGCTACACCCGACATCAAATAAATCGCAGCTCCCGCGATAAGCACTTTCTGACGTATGCATCGTCACTTCCCACCATTATTCGCACCATTTAAAAGCCTAGTTCTAAACTTCATTTCTTTTAAAGGAAAGGTTTTTACCCCAAAAATGTGTTTTTAAAAGGATCCAGAGTCACTTCTTCAAAAAATAGATAGGTAGTTACGCTTGAGCCAACTTTTATGGCTATAAAACTGTTAAGTTGGGATTAATCGCCATCCATCTGTTAAAGAGGACTCGTGAGATCATTATTTGGTTTTATAACCATAAAATTTGGTCTACATGATCCCAGAGGTGAGCCCCAAGTGATGTCTTTTTTCAAGTCACATTTGTGGTTTATTTTAATCGTTTATTAAGATTTAAAATGTGTTTTTCTTTAAGGATTTTTAAAAATTGGGCTTTTAAATAACACCAATATTGTTGGGGCACCATGATTGTGTCAGAAGAAAATCTTCAAAGTTCGCGTCGCGGAAGGTGCGATTTATTTGATGTATGGTTGATACTGTTGTGCCCCGAACATACATTTATTACACAGCGGTGCGCTTGCAAATCGCAGTATGTATGCGCCCTTTTCATGGCAATCCAGAAAGATGTCAAAGCTAGGCCCAGTTTGTTGGGGCAGTGTAAAATTTCACATAATAACTTATTTTAATTAAGGATAAAAAAACTGGGCAAAAATCTTTATTTTTTCAACCATTTTTGTAGTACACGTTTTTTTAATGCATAACAAAGCAGGCATTTGACCGCAATCGCACTCGATGTTAAGTGAAATGCAGTCTAGGATCTAGGATGGTACATTTATGTATCTGCCTTGTAAGTGCTTATTCACTCTCGCCTTAAAAAGACTATTCAAATTATAGTGTTCAGGAAAGACAAAAGCAGGCAACCAATTCCAGTCCCTAGCTGTTTGCTTTATGAAAGAGTCTATGTTATGTGCTGTAATGCCTCAATTTTGATGACGTTACTCATAACATTTTTTTAAAGCAGCTGTTGTCCCATCATAAATAGCTTTTCATAACTGTTTCTATACGTAATTTGCACAAATGAAATTTAGAAGGTAACATCAAGCGAATAAAAAACATTTAAAAAGATCATATTGGGTGCCCTGTAAAAGGTTTTGCAGGCGCACCCAACCTAGATTTATTAAAGCTACAGGTAGATGTACCGATGAGTTGTGAGAGTATTTATTTATAGGTACGTTTCCAGACAGGCTGTATCGATCTCCCGGTCGTCCCGGTCCCTAGATTTATTGCAGACATGTAAATGGCCGATGAGTGTTAAATGAGAGTGTACGTTTTAATAATGATAGTAGCTATGCCCGCGACTTCGTACGCGTGAAAATACACTCAACAACATCAAATAAACCGCACCTTCTGCGAACTTTAGTGATTTTCTTCTGACATAATCATGGTGCCCCAACAATATTGGTGTTATTTGAAAGCCCAATAAATATCCTTTAAGAAAAACACGTTAAAAATCTTAATAAACGATTAAAATATACGACAAATGTGACTTGAAAAAAATCCTCACTTGGGGCTCACCTCTGGGATCAGTTAGACCAATTTTTATGGTTATAAAACCAAATAATGATCTCACGTGTCCTCTTTAACAGATGGATAGCAATTAATCCTAATGTAACAGTTTCCTTCTAAAGACATATTTTTGGGGTAAAAATATTTCCTTTAATGAAATGAAGTTTAGAACCAGGCTTTCAAATGGTACTAATGTTGGTGGGAGGTGGGGATACATACGTTTGATAAGTGCTTGTCGCGGGATGTGCGATTTATTTGATGCCGAGTGTATTTCCTGTTTTTGTAACATTTTTCTTACTGCTCCGCCCCTATTGGCTGTAGGGTGATGTTATAGCCTAAAGCCTTCTTCGATAAATGGGCTATCCAACACAAAAATATTTTTCAAATCGTACCAGTGGTTTCCGAGTTGTACGCGTTCAAGCAAACAAAGAAACTCTTCAGCTTTATAATATTCACACTGACACTAAAATAAGTTCCACCAGCTCGCACTAAGCATTTCGATGACTCTTTTATAATGCGAACAGCTAGGGACTGGAATTCGCTGCCTGCTGCTGTCTTTCCTGAAGACTATAATGCGGGCATTTTCAAGGCGAGAGTGAATAGGCACTTACAGGGCAGATATTATTATGTACCATCCTAGACTGCATCCCACTTAACATCAGGTGCGATTGTGGTCAAATAACTGTCTTGTTATACATAAAAATAAAAATTCGCAACACGTCTTTGTTACAATTGGAATTAGGTTGTGTTGTCAACTTTTTGGTCACTTTGGGTGTCACGAACTATTTGACGCTGATGGTATAGTCAATAGTTATTGCAATGAGGGCTATCGTTTTAGCGCTTACCAGTTAGCGCCACTGTAGAGTAAGGTCCTGTCACTTGCTAGTAGCGAAGACAGTGGCACCAACTGGTGAGCGCGAAAGTGGTAGGAGGACTATCGCATTTGCACTCATCAAGATGGCGCCACTGCAGAGTAAGGTCCTGTCAATCGCCAGGGGTGCCAACTGTTAAGTATACTCAATACTCAATACTCAAATCTTTATTGCATTTCACAGTATAAAAACGATAGCCCTCATTGCGTTAACTTGAGCTAAAATAGATCCAGTTTTCACAATCTTATCGCAATTCTTGCGAAGTTTGGACCCACTTTTTCCTTAAACAATTTTAGAAAAAGCTAAAAACGTGTCATTGTGTAGTTATTTTTACCTTCAAAGTTTTCATCCCCTCAATGGATGAATTTAGAAACTTTCCTTATTTTTAGAATGAAACTACGCAACCAAGGAAATTGTAGTCCGTCAGTATACAGCGAGGAAACGATAAGTGATCTCACTCGATTATTTCTAAACTATAACTCGTGAGCACTTTCAGGATCAGTAACCAGTTTTTCAATACTTTGTATAGTTTAGAAATAATTGAGTGAGATCACGTATCGTTTCCACCCTGTACAAGTATAATATCAAAACAAAATCAAATCTTATTCAGTACTAAAGCGAGCGAGTGAGCCCGTAGAATTTTGTCCAATGACCCCTAGCTACCCATCCTTATCGCTCGCGCGTAATTATATTGCTGTCGCGACTGTGCGACTGGCACCCGCAGTGAGTGTGCGAGCGCGATAGCAACATAATTACGCGCGAGTGATAAGGATGGGTAGCTTGGGGTCATTGGACAAAATTCTACGTGCTCACAGATCAGACCATAGCGTATGCGTAGGGATCCACGCATACGAATTCGCGGGCGGTTTAACCTTTAGGGGTGGAGTTTCGTAAAATCCGTTCTTAGCGGGTGTTTACACCTTGGAGCCTACCTGCCAGAAGTTTGTATATTGTTATAGTTTCTGAGATTACGTGATTAATCAAACTCATTTTTTATTTTCAGGTTTCGTAGAGATGATGGCCGCCTACATGCCGGAGTTCTCTCGCATCGAAAAAGCACAAGTGAGCTCGTGGGTGATTGAGCTAGAAGCTGAGCTCTCACGTCGTGATGAGACCGACTCACTCAACGGTAAGTCCCAGGTTTGATTCCCAGCAGGGTCAACAGTAAATAAGAAGGAACAATACTGCGATTGTAATAACTATAGTCTGGTCTGCGAGCACGTAGAATTTTGTCTAATGACCAAGCTACCCATCCTTATCGCTCGCGCGTAATTATGTTGCTATCGCGCTCGCACACTCACTGCGGGCGACCGTCGCACAGTCGCGACAGCAATATAATTACGCGCGAGCGATAAGGATGGGTAGCTTGGGGTCATTGGACAAAATTCTACGTGCTCACAGACCGGGCTTTACTACAGTTAAGCGCTATAACTGAGTATGTTTCTGCGACGGTAAGTGTTCTAGGTTTCTTTTCCAGCAGGATCAAGGTCATAGCACACTTTCTACTCGGAAAAGGGTCGTCGTCGTATCGTCTTTTGCTCCTAACGTAAGGGAATCAGAATCGGCTCGGCTACGGTTCAACGACGGTGAGTGTCCTAGGTTTGGTTCCCAGTAGGATCAATATAGCTCGCATCGAAAAAGCACAAGTGAGCTCGTGGGTGATTGAGCTAGAAGCTGAACTCTCTCGTCGCGATGAGACCGACTCACTCAACGGTAAGTCCCAGGTTTGATTCCCAGCAGGGTCAACAGTAAATGAGAAGGGAAAAATACTGCGATTGTAATAACTATAGTCTGGTCTGCGAGCACGTAGAATTTTGTCCAATGACCCCAAGCTACCCATTTTTATCGCTCGCGCGTAATTATGTTGCTATCGCGCTCGCACACTCACTGCGGGCGACCGTCGCACAGTCGCGACAGCAATATAATTACGCGCGAGCGATAAGGATGGGTAGCTTGGGGTCATTGGACAAAATTCTACGTGCTCACGGACCAGGCTTTAGAGGCTGAACTCTCACGTCGCGATGATACCGACTCACTCAACGGTAAGTGTTCTAGGTTTGGTGCCCAGCAGGTGAACACTGATTCTGATAGCGAAGTGTACACGCATTAAACACTATACGCGGCGTACGACGTCAGCGTCAAACGTTCCTAACGACCTTTTTGAAAAGAAAGAGACCGGCATTCAGAGATTTTGGAAAAATTTTCGAAAATTCTCTACCTTACCATACAATGTCCTGTACATAATTAAAATACATTTCCTTTAATTTGATTTATCAAGTTTCTTAGAGAGATTTCATCCCTATACTTAACCCTAACGATCGATGCAATAAAAATACAGGGTGTAATTTTTAAATTAATTTAGTTGGTTCGATTCCCGGGTGTAGCAAGCAATTTTTTGGAAATTTTTCAATGCAGTTCTATTTCTTTTCGAAAATAAAGGAATGTTTTCTTTGAGTAAAATTTTCTATCTGCAGTATTAAGAGTACTTTCCCTCCCGGTGGCATTACAAAATTACATCCTATATAGTAAGCATTGTGTCGCGGCCTACGGCGTTTATAGTTTATAGCAGACCTCAGGTCTTACTGAGTGGCCTCTTGCAACGTTAAGTGTTACTTTGAGTCGCATAATCGAGGTTCAGTTCCCAACAGGGACAGCAAATTGACCTGATAGTAATGATCTATTTCACAGATGATTCTGCAGGCAGCGACCGTATCAACCTCACGCTGCAGAGCCTTAGCGAGATGCTGCCTCCAGCCGCCCCGGCCAAGGCTGTTCGGTGAGTTTAGTCAAAATAAACGGCTACCTAAGTAAATTCCGACAAACTTTACTTCCACATTACGTTACTCCGACATTTCTGAATATCGACATGACTTTACTTCGACACTACACTACTCCGACAAAGGATATTCGCCTTTGTCTAAGTAGTGGAGTGTCGAAGTAAAGTCATGTCGATATTCAGTAGTGTCGGAGTAACGTAATGTCGAAGTAACGTTTGTCGGAGTTCAGTTTTTGAGCCAAAATAAACTGAAAATTAGGTTTTTTGTCTTTAAACAATAATTAACCTAAGTATAATATGTTTGAACTTAAGGAGCCTTAAAGTGTCTTCAAAATTACTAGTATACGGGACAGGCGCTTTTAAATAAATGTTTTTTTTGCACATGGAAAGTTGTATGACATGCGTTGCAATGAAAATGTTAATTAAATAATTACCAATTACTGTGCGCAAACGGCCCTAACGTAATTTGATGGAGCCCTAAAGGTTTTTTAAAGGTTTAATGTAAAAAGCCTTCCAAGGGAGCGAAAAAATGTAAGGAATTTGTTCACCATGACGGGAACAGAACTAACGCTCGTATTCCCAAACATTTCTATGAGGCCTCACAGTGCGCGTGGACGCACAGGGTCACACACGAACCAATCACAGAGCTCTATTCAACGCTGTGCGTTCGATTTGCTGCTTCACTTAAGCAAGTATCTGTGAATACGGGCATGAGTTTCTTGCGCTGCTTCTTCTTAGCACTGGCCCATTTATTGTCCCGAAGCAGTGGTAGGGTTAATACTGGGACGTGTAAAAGTGTTTTTAAAAGCTTTGCAAAAATAAAATGAATTTTATGAATTTTAGATCTCACACCAACTCTGAGAGTTCTGAGGGAGCGGAGGGCGGTCGTCGTGCTCCTATGATGGATGGTGATGAACTCTCCGCTCAGTGCGGAGTGTTGCAGGAGATGTTCCCGAACACTTGCACCATGGAGGTATGCTTGATAAGTTCTCCGCTTCCTCTCCGCTACATCTCCGCTTCCTCTCCGCTTCTTTGATCCCCTCAGCTTTCTCTCTTGTCCCTTCTCCGCTTCCTCTCCGCTACTCATTCCAACTCCGAGAGTTCTGTGGGAGCGGAGGGCGGTCGTCGTGCTCATGTAATGGATGGAGATGAACTCTCCGCTCAGTGCGGCGTGCTACAGGAGGTGTTTCCCAACACTTGCACCATGGAGGTATGTTTGATAAGTTCTCCGCTTCATCTGTTTCATCTCCGCTTCCTCTCCGCTTCTCCGATCCACTTCCTCTCAGCTCCCTTTTCAGCTTTCTCTCTGCTCCTCTCTCCGCTTCCCTTCTCCGCTTCCTCTCCGTTTTCTCCGCTTCCCCACTTTCACTCCGCTTCCTTATTCACTTCCTCACCGTTTCCCGCTCCAATACCTTTCCGATCCGTTATCTCTGCTTCCCCAACTCGGAGAGTGTGGGAGCGGAGGGCGGTCGTCGTGCTCCTATGATGGATGGTGATGAACTCTCCGCTCAGTGCGGAGTGCTCCAGGAGATGTTTCCCAACACTTGCACTATGGAGGTGAGTTGATTGCTTTTGCATCAAGCTCATGCTCTTGCATGGTAGCGGAGAATCAACTAGATGTTAGAAGAGAAGACTCCGCTATATCTCCGCTTCCTCTCCGATTCACACCAACTCTTGAGAGAGTTGCAGGAAATGTTCCCCAAAACTTGCACTATTGGGGTGAGTGTGTTTGACAAGCTCTCCGCTTCATATCCGCTTCCTTTCCGTTTCTCGGCTTCCTCTCCGCTTCCCCGCTCCACCCCAGTAAGTTTTTACCGAATTCCGTCCACTGACAAAGGAAGGAAGGATATAGGAAGTGGGGAAACGCTTGTTGATTGTCTAGTTTCTCTAAAGCTCATTTTCTCCTAGCGTTTAACTGAGTGCCTGAGGTATGGGAGCGGAAAAACATCCTCCCGTGATGTTTTTGTGACGTCAAACGTCAGCGAGACTTCAGATGTGCTTGAGAATTGTATGCTCTGTCACGTCATACCGCTACCAATCGATCAACATGGAAAGCATTGGGGGAGGCCTATGTTCAGCAGTAGACGTCCTGTAGTTGCTGAGATGATGATGATGACTATAGTTTCTATTAAATAAAGATTTTAATTCTCTTTCTAGATCAAGCACTGCGTATCCATAGCCAACGGTGACGTCGAACGCGCGGCCGCCACGCTGCTACACCGGCGCGAGCAAGGACAAGCGCTGTCGGCGGCCGCCTTGCACACCGTGACGTCACGCCAGCCGCTGTGCGACGACAGCGAGCTCAAGAGCCGTATTATCGCGCGGTAAGTGCGTTTTAGGTCTTACTTAAGTGCCTGAGGTAAGTGTGTGAAGGACAGCGGATAAACGATCTCTGTTATTTTCCGCTTCCTCTCCGCTACTTCTCCGCTTCCTCTCCGCTACTTCTCCGCTACTTCTCCGCTTCATCTCCGCTACTTCTCCACTTTCACTCTGCTACTTCTCCGCTTTCTCTCGTCTCCGCTTCGTCGATTCGCTTCCTCAACTTCCCATTCAGCTTTCTCTCTGCTCCCCTCTCCGCTATCTCTCCGCATCTCACACCAACTCCGAGAGTTCGAAGCATCATCGCGCGGTAATGCCTGTATTCACAAACATTACTATGAGGTCTCACAGTGTGCATGGACGCACAGGGTCACATACGAACCAATCTCATAGCTCTATTCAACGCTGTGTGTTCGATTTGCTGCTTCACTTAAGCAAGCATTGTTTGTGAATACGTGCGTAGGTGTGTGACGTCATCTACAAACTAGTGTACCAACAGATGGCGCTGTTACGACCTCACTATGGCACGCACCGCCGCGCGTACAAACCTGCATCGCGGTGACGAAGTTTTTTACCCTGCTTAGTATAAATAGAAAAATTGAGATGGAGTAAATAGGAGCAACACCCGCTTGGAAGGAAGCACTAACACACCTTAGCTTCCTTACGCCCGTATTCACAAACATTACTATGAGGTCTCACAGTGCGCGTGGACGCACAGGGTGACACGAACCAGTCACTCTATTCAACACTGTGCGTTCGATTTGCTGCTTCATAATAAGGAAGAATCGTTTGTCAATACGGGCATTATTGTGGTTGATCTTTCGAATCCCACAAGTGTATGAACTCCGATTGGGCAGCAAGATGGTGGACCGACGACCTCATAAAGGTAGCAGGGAGGCGCTGGATGGCAGGCCGAAAGGGGTCAAGCTAAATCTCACGATATCTCACCGAGAGGGGAGAGGGGGTCAAGCTAAATCTCACTATGTCTCACCAAGGGAGAGAGAGGGTCAATTACGTGAGGCTTTTAGGGGGGGAGGGGGTCCTGAATGTCCTGATACATCTCACGATATCTCACCAAGGGGGGAGGGCGTCAAGCTAAATCTCATGATATCTCATCAAGGGGGAGAGAGGCTTCTAAACGCCTCAAATTCTTTAGAAAAATTTGATGGCCCTACACTTCTCTCCGCTCTGCCTTGGTGGAAACCAGGCCTTAGGCTAAGAACTCATGGCGCGATTTTCACCCGCGCCCGCGGCGGTTGCGGGTAAAAATCGCGCCGTGAGAGTTATTAGAATAACCGCGCAAATAACCGCTCCCGTGAGTTTTGAAATAAAACCGCAATTCCACAACAGCCGCGAGCGCCGGTGAAAATCGCGCCGTGAGTTCTTAGAGTAGGCGCACACCGTTGATTTTTCGTCGGCCGATAGTTTAGTCGGGCAGTTGATCAGTTTGGCATGTATGGGAGTGAGCACACTACGCCGATTCGATTTGGCCGATTCTTCATGCAAATTAAAATCGGGCACAACTATCGGCCAACTAAAAATCAACGGTGTGCGCCTACTCTTAGCTTTAGACTTTTGTCATGCTCACTAAAATGTCTCTGGGGTAGTGGCGTGTGAGGCGGGTTGTTACATTCCCTATAATATGGTCGAGTGAAGCGATGGCTGGTTCACACGTCATGTCTGTGAACAGGCGCTGCCTCGGGGACTGGTCAAGGAAAGATATACCTGACATAAAATATATGTATCAAAACGCAACAATTAACCTAGAAATTAGCACGGCACTAAAGAAATATATTCAAAACTGCCACGCGGTCTCATGCTAGATGGGCGTCTTAAAGGCCACCTTCTATCAACGGGAGCGCGTGGTAAGTTACTTGCTTCTGAATGAATTGTAACTTCCTACTTTTTTATATTTTTTTATATTTTTAAACCGGCAGACAGTGGTGACTGAGTTTGTTGCGGCGCTTCTTCTCAGCACTTGCCAAATGTTTGTCTCGAAGCGCTGGTAGGGCAAAAACAGAATGAGACATGTATAGGCTCCTTAAGAGCATTTGACGATTTGCAAGAACTAATTTAATTAGTCTAAACAAATAAAGATAATTTGATTTTGATTTTTGATTTAGATAGCTAAAGATATATTTGGTTTTTAACTGTATGTCTCTCTTCCAGTTACTCCTACGTGGACAAGAATTCTGACCAAAAGGAGCACAAGCCGCTCGCTCCAAAGATAGAGCCGAAGAAGATGGTCCGCTACAGAGACAACAAGATCGTCTCGCTCAAGGGGGAGAGGTACACTGAGGTGAGTGAGATAGATAGAGAGAAATAGGGGGATATACATAGTCAGGAGAGAGAGAGAGAGAGAAAGACATGATGGCTCGGACCAGGAATATAAGTGAGTGAGATAGATAAATACAGGAGAGAGACAGAGAGAGAGATCGCTCCCAAGATAGAGCCGTAGAAGATGGTCCGCTATAGAGACAACAAGATCGTCTCGCTCAAGGGGGAGAGGTACACTGAGGTGAGTGAGATAGATAGATACAGGAGAGAGAGAGAAGATGGTTCGTTACAGAGAAAACAAAGAAAGCTCAAGGGAGAGAGGTACACTGAGGTGAGTGGAATAGAGAGAGAGAGAGAGAGATAGGAGATAGAGTGAAAGAGAGAAGATGGTCCGCTATAGACACAACAAGATCGTCGCGCTCAAGAGAGAGAGGTACACTGAGGTTAGTGGGATAGATAGATACAGGAGAGAGAGAGATGATGGTCCGCTACAGACAAATACAGACGCGGACCAGGAACACATGTGAGTGTGATAGATAGATAAATACAGGAGAGAGACAGAAAGAGAGATATCGCTCCCAAAATAGAGCCGAAGAAGATGGTCCGCTATAGAGACACCAAGATCGTCTCGCTCAAGGGAGAGAGGCACACTGAGATGAGTGAGATAGATTATAAAGTCCAAGATTTTATTCAGTACTTAGGCGCTTTCCAGGACGCTTATACACGTCCCAAATATAGCTTGCCCTACCACCACTTCGGGACAACATATGGGCCGGTGCTGAGAAGTGGCGGAAGAAACTCGGCCACCTCTTTTTCAATCAAATACAGTGGGCAGTATCAGAATTAACATACAAATAATAAATGCATGGAGAGGATTTCTGTATCGAAAAATGGGAGGCCTCTGGCAGTGGGCGTTATTTAGCTGAAATTACTTTAAACCTAGGCGCAGACCGCAGACTATCGATTTTTCGTCGGCCGATAGTTTATTCGGGCAGTTGGTCAGTATGGGCATGTATGGAAGTGCGCACATTACACCGATTTGATTTGGCCGACACTTCAATACAAATTAAAATCGGGCCCAACTATCGTCCACAACAGTACGTTTCTCCAGTAACTTCCTGCCCCGTTGGACTGTCGTCTGCGGTGTTTCCGGACGGATACGACCTGCAAGCTTTCAAGAGGAGAGCGTATCTTCACCTTAAAGGCCGGCAACGCCCCTGGGTCTGCGGGTGTCTATGGGCGACGGTAATCACTTACCATCAGGTGATCCGTCTGCTCGATTGCCTCCTGTAACATAAAAAAAACTAAAAATCGGTGGTCTGTGCCTAGTCTAAGTAAATTAGAGAGAGCAGTGCTCCTGTGTACAGTAAAGGTTCGTCCAACCAACGCGTGCTGGCTGATCGCGTTGGTTTGACTTGAGGGCCTAGTGTGAGTTCACATCAAGTTTATTTAGTCAAAAAAATGACATTAAATGTATGACGGATTGTACAGCGCCCCTAGCGGGAAGAAACTAAAATTGTCATACATTTTTTAAACGCTGAGCGCGTTTGATGTAAAGGTAAACTCACACTCAGCCCACTGAACCTTAAGTGTCCTGATAATGACACATCTTTCATCTCCCCAGGTGCCAAGATCCGGAGCCGACGAGGAGCAGTTAAAGAAGCCCAAAAAACAGCATTGCCCTTAACCATTACAACCACGTCAGTACGGTAACGCGGCCCTGCCCGCTTCATCCTCCGCACGCCCCTCCCCTGTGACGTCACGCGACGCCCGCGCACACGTTAATATAAGCCCTAGTTTGCAGGATTTTGAACGTTATCACCTTGAGAATAAGACGCGTTTTTCAACGGATAGTAAAAGGCCAGAACACTCTAAGATTGTGTCCGATTTGCAGGAATTTGAACGTTATTGCTTTGAGAATAAGACGCGTTTTTCAACGGATAGTAAAAGGCCAGAACATTCTAAGATTGTGTCCGATTTGCAGGATTTTGAACGTTATTGCTTTGAGAATAAGACGCGTTTTGCAACGGCTGAAAAATGTCTAGAAGTGCGCACGAAAATATACTTTGATAATGTTTCGGATTTGCAGGATTTTGAACGTCATCACCTTGAGAATAAAACACGTTTTGCGACGCATAGTAATAGGCTAGATTTTAAGTGTCATCGCTTTGAGAATAACACGCGTTTTGCAACGGCTGAAAAATGTCGAGAAGTGCGCACGAAAATATACTTTGATAATGTTTCGGATTTGCAGTATTTTGAACGTCATCACCTTGAGAATAAGACGCGTTTTCCAACGGATAATAAATGTCGAAAAGTGCGTCTTAATAATGTTTCGGAATCGCAGGATTTTGAACGTCATCACCTTGAGAATAAGACGCGTTTTCCAACGGATAATAAATGTCGAGAAGACACTTTACGCCTTAGTTTGAAGGAATTTGAACGTTATTGCTTTAAGAATAACACGCGTTTTTCAACGGTAAATGAAAGTATAGATATGCGCACTATAATACACCTCAATAACGCCACTGATTTGCAGGATTTTGAACTTCATCACCTTGAGAATAAGACGCGTTTTTCAACGGCAAATAAAAGTCTAAAAGTGCGCTATTGGCATGAGGTTAATATTTCCAATGTGCGCACGACTATACACCTTAATAATGTTTCGGTTTCGCAGGATTTTGAACGTCATCGCTTTGAGAATAAGACGCGTTTTGCAACGGCTAGTAAAAGTCGATATGTGCGTGATTGGTATGAGGTTAATATTTCCAATGTGCGCACGATCATAGACTGTAACATTTTGTCAGATTTGCAGGATTTTGGACGTCATCACCTTGAGAATAAGACGCGTTTTCCAACGGATAATAAATGTCGAAAAGTGCGTCTTAATAATGTTTTGGATTCGCAGGAATTTGAACGTCATCGCTTTGAGAATAAGGCGCGTTTTGCAACGGCTAGTAAAAGTCGATATGTGCGTGATTGGAAAGAGGGCAATTTAAGTGCGAACGTGCGTCGCGCGAACGTCATACTCCGTACTATCTTTATATATGTGTATTTAAGTGTAAGTAGTGTAGTGTCTCTTGGCGTGGACAACGCCGTAGTATATACTAGTCATAGTTCGAATCTCAGCACAATTTTGAGTGCCGTCATTTTGACGGACGCGATGACGGATGCATGGAAACGACGAGTGAGTATCGTATTGACATTTCTGACGTTGACACACGTTTCAGCTAATTTGACTGTCTTTGGAGCTTTAATATTGACACTGTCAATGACCGACACGAACGCATCTTTGACTGAAGCTCGGTCGGTTGTTACGCTGACAGCTATCAAGATGACAGACGTCACACTGACAGCTGTCAAGATGGCAGACGTCACACTGACAGCTGTGATTTTGGCGGTATCGTCTGCCCTAGCGGTTTCAATTTTATTTATAGCTACTCTTAGTGTAATCGTTTTTCACGCCGCGTCGCACGCGGCACGCGTATTGTTTGAAGCTTTAAATGTCTACGTCAGAATGACGGATGACGGATCGGTCGATGGGGTGTCTACCGTCAAAATGGGGGTGTTCTCTGTATGTGTATTCCAATTATACAACGGGCGTGCGTTTATAATATGTGTGTGTGTTAGAATAGGAGCGCGTGATTCGTACGTTTTCTACCCGCTTTACGCCGTATCTGATTTTTACCCTCCGCCAGAAGGGGGGTTATGTTTTTTTGTGTGGAAATTTGTTTTAATGGACTTTAAATTTAGGTTTGATTATTTAAATGTATTTATTATTATCGATAAGCTCTCTGATATTAAAATGGCGGCTAGTGTGTGTGTATCATTGGACGAGCTAGTGTGCGTTTATAAAAGTATGTCGGACGCCATTTTGAATTTGAAAGCGTATTGCCGTTTCGGTGATTTTTCTTTAGTGTTAAGCGTAATACCTGTGATTTTTTATTGTTATTATAATTTTATTATCGACAACGTGATTCCTAATATAGTTTTATTGTTTTTGAATTGGTCTGTGATTCTGATGCCATTTTTTATAGTATGTTACCCGGTAAGCGGTTTTTACCCGACTGCGAAAGGAGGGTTATGTTTTTTAGTTTATAGTTTAGGTTCCAATTTTATCAACGTGGTTGGTGTTGTTTTTGAAACTGACAGTTTGGAATTGTTGTGATGGTTGTATTTTTTAGTCTGACAACAATTGTGAATGGTTCTGGAATCTATGGGCTACATTTCTAGCTCTCACCTGTAACCATAAAGTTAATTTTCTGAATAAAGCAACAAACAACTGAGCGAGCGAGATGTCACTAGCAGCAACACTGTGTGTTAAAAAGAGATGCGTGATGCCGTCGCCGTCACGTCAAACAGAACCGTTTTTGCAACTATGTGACAGTTCAGAGGCACGCAGTGGCACGCTCAAAATTTACACTCTGATTTTTTTTTGGTATAAAAATTACCTTGATCTCAAAAGTTTGGTGACGAGTAATATATCTTAATACTATGCAAATAAAGTTAAAATTGACATAACATTCCAAACAAATCCACGGACCATTCGCAATTTTGTACAAATTAAAAAATTGTACCAATTTTTCAAATAGACTGATTTACTAAGATCTCATAGAATGAGTAAAAAAAACTTAATATTTATTTATTTATATGTTAAATGTATTTAACTGACGGTGCAAAGGCAGCACCTCTTGTGGTAAAATGCAAAAATAATTACTACAGGGTGTTAGGTAAATGGGTATATGAGCCGACACTAGCCCATGTTAACATGGTCATATAAATGGTATGGTGAAGTCAGAAAATTGATATCTTCATTTTAATTTTCATACAAATCGGATTTTATAAAATTTATTTTGCATGAAAATAAAATAAAAAAAATGATGATATCAAATTCCTGACGGTATGGGAGCTGCACGGGAGGGTGATTTTGACTTTTTGTGACGTTAAACGTCAGCGAGACTTCAGATGTGCGTCAGACCTTGTATGCTTTGTCACGTCATAATATCCCGTGCCGGTTCTATACCTCAGGCACTGGCTGAATAAAACGCTGGACCTATAGTTTCATCTTCACACGAAAATTCCTGTTTTGCCCAACATTTTCACCTATCGGGGCAAGATGGGAATGCCAAAATAGTATATTTATGTGTAATCAAAAGTTCGAAACCCACCGAAACTGCATTTTTGTCTACCACTGGACATTTCTGTCCCCCAGAGGGCATTTCTGTCCACCAAAGAGCATTTTTGTCCACCAAAGGGCATTTCTGTCCACCAAAGGACATTTTTGTCCACCAAAGGGCATTTCTGTCCACCAGAGGGCATTTGCACTGTCAGTTGCATCTCTCTATCTCTACATTTGTTTGAATAATCAGCATTTGGTCGTAGGGATGTAGCTGTTGTTTTAAAACAAAAAATATAGGGTGTGAATTTTTTACAAACTTCGGCATTCGGTTGGTATTTTTTTTACAATACATTATGTGCAATTATAATAAGCTGTGAGTACATAATGTAACTCATATAAAATATGTCGCGTTGAGTTGAGATCTGTGTTTCTCTATTTTAGTTGAAATGGGACACGAAAGTTTAAAATCTTACTTATGTGAAATATTTGCAAGAAAATCACTTAGGAAAAGTAATTTCATAATAACTCCACGTGATATGCTTTTTTTACACTTATGTTGTTAATGCCTTGTCTAGAACAAAGAAATTATTAAAAAATCTAAAGAAGACCCGTGAGAATAAAAAGGGGTAAAAAACCAGCATTAAAAATACTGTAGCAAATTGCAGAGATACGACACAACTTTTCATAAATAATAATATCAGAAATGCTACTAGGTGGCAGGGAGGTTTTTAAAATGACAGCTACACCGAGAGAAACGACAGTTTTATACTAATTTGGCGTTTAAAAAAAATAAAATTGTTGATAATGATCGACTGTGTGATAGTTCAAATGACAAAAAAATTCATCCCTTTAAATTGAAACAATAAAAGAAAGAAATAAAGTAATATTTCAAGCAATGCCGGTTTCGCATCTGTTTGACTTGTCTTATAAAATTAAGAGGTTTGAATTAAAATTACACTTTTTTGGAGCTAAACGTAAGGGTGATAGAGGACAAAATAATTGACAACTTGTGAATAACCGATCTACATAAAATTTGTTAATTTCTCATGTAAGTGACTGTACGGTTTTTAATGAGAAATAAATGTTATTTAAACCTAAAACCTAAAATAATGCGGATGCCATATTTCTAACGTTTGTTTAGAAATACAGAATAATTGACATTATTAAGCTTTTAAAACTACAGTGACAAAATTAAATGCTTTTATTATTTACTGGTAGCCCTGTATGTAACAAGCAGTGTTGCCATCAACTTCATCACAATTTTAAAATCACAGATTCGCCAATATTTTTATTCTTAACTGGTACTGTCACAAGCACAGTGTTGCCATACATTTAAACTTTAAAACTTTTATTTTTTACTGGTAACCATGTATGTCAATGTTGCCACAACATTTAAACTAGCACAAGTCGATCAAGCCAAAATTTGGTGCTAAATTAGTATTTCAAATTGCCAAATTCGCTAGGCTAACGTTTTAACGTTGAAAAAAACAATCAAATTGTCTTTTTTATTTCTACTAATACGCTTATTGAAAGGGCTGAAAAGAATTAAAAGATATTTCAAAATCTGTGGATATTTTTAAAAAATCTGCTAGTCTAAAGATTAAAAAAAATGTTTTTTTTTTCAATGATTTGACAATTATTCTCTTTAAATTATTATTATGTTAAAATTGTCATAAAATATAGTTTTAATGTATCTTACAGATTTTGAGATACGCTTTCACACATTGACGAATTGGCTATGAAATGTATTGGTCAAAATACGTCACATCTATAAAAAAAATATTGTCAAACCGGTTTTAATATTCCCGTTAATTATGTACTGGGTAATTATTTTATATTTTTATTTAATAATTTTAATTATTTTAAGGTTAATTCTGTGATAGATGCGCTGGCAGCTATTTATTTTTTATATGTGGCAATACACACTTGAATAAAATTCGTCACTGGCAACATTTCATAGGTTTGACAACATAAATAAAAGGAGTTTTATAGTTTGTGACATATTCCGACTATTGCAAGAAAAATCACTTCAAAAAAGCGGATCTTAGTTTAAGTATAATTCAGTATTTTTTAGCTAAAATATTTTTAAATAGATACTGTAAGTTTTATTTAATTTAGTGATAGACTAAAAGACATTCTATGAAGTTTTTTTAAGTGTGATTTAAGCTTCAACCACACCTACGCGTGCAGATAGCCATCGCCGGCGCCATCATAGGCCAATGACAGGTCGCGCGGACTGTCATGGGTCGCGCGGACTGTCATGGGTCGCGCGGACTATTATGGGTCGCGCGGACTGTCATGGGTCGCGCGGACTGTCATGGGTCGCGCGGACTATTATGGGTCGCGCGGACTGTCATGGGTCGCACGGACTGTCATGGGTCGCGTGGACTATCCTGGGTCGCGCGGACTGTCACGGGTCACGCGGACTGTCATGGGTCGCGCGGACTATCATGGGTCGCGCGGACTGTCATGGGTCGCGCGGACTATCATGGGTCGCGCGGACTATCATGGGTCGCGCGGACTGTCATGGGTCGCGCGGACTGTCATGGGTCGCGCGGACTATCATGGGTCGCGCGGACTGTCATGGGTCGCGCGGACTGTCATGGGTCGCGCGGACTGTCATGGGTCGCGCGGACTGTCATGAGTCGCGCGGACTGTCATGGGTCGCGCGGACTGTCATGGGTCGCGCGGACTGTCATGGGTCGCGCGGACTGTCATGGGTCGCGCGGACTGTCATGGGTCGCGCGGACTGTCATGGGTCGCGCGACCTGTCATTGGCCTATGATCGCGCCATGGCGATCTGCACGCGTTGGTGTGGTTGAATCATTAGTTTTATATTATTTTATACATATAATTTCGAATATGTTTTTGTATCGTCTCGAATTTTGATTTATATTTTTATATTCTAATGTATATTGTGATTGTATATTTTAATTTTTAACGAATCTGCCTATTCCTAAATGACTATATTTTTAGATGTACTCTTACACTTTTCTACTAAAATCCGATTCGCTTTGTTTGGAGTGTTTTTTAATCCGAATATCTGGGTGATTCTCAAATCGAACTATGAAATTCTTAAATTGTGTATCACAAAGAGGTGAGCTCGTTTTGTAAGTTGGAGGAATGTCAATGCGTTTAAAATACGGTTTAATGGAACCAATGGATTTTGAAATTTTATCTCTAAGATTCTTCAAATAAGACGTTTTCATTCGAGCGTTAGTCGGACCGCACACATAAATGAAAATTATATGAAAATTGCGTTGTAAAAAAAATTCAATTACCATCAGTATTGCGGTATTGCAAACGAACGACTGACGTCCTGTATAAAAAGTCTAATTTGAAAGAGCTCTTAGTGCAATCAATTGAGGAATTTTGACATTTTGTGGTAGACTGATATTGCTGACGACTGTTGTCTAAAAAAATAATAAATAATTGAAAAAAATCGTGCAATTAAAAATCCAACATCACAAAAATAAAACTTTATACATCACTGAATCCAATTCGTGAATTTTTGAAATAGATCGATTTGAGAATGAACCAGATTAGTGGCAAAGAATCGCAGACGAAGAAAACCTTAAAACTATAGCATTTATTTACTATTTCCCTAATTATTGAATTGATTTTGCATTTTATTGGATGTATTTACTTAGAGCGAAGAACGCGCCGTTGATGTCATATCTATAATAATTGGTGTGAACCATACAATGTATTCAATATATCGTTAAAATATCCAATTTTGGTTGTTTTATTTCGTAAAAATTACCTCTGTAGGTCTAGCCCATTGGTTCCCAAACTTATTTGAGACGCGCCCCCTTTCGACCATACAAAAATCCGCGTCCCCTCTCTTCCAGTCAAGATTATTTATTGGTATCGAGCAGTCTGAAATGCATTCTCTCAGCGGTCGCAGGTTTTTTATACTTAAGTACACAGATGGCCCGCACCCCCCTTTAAAGGTCTTTGCACCTCCCCTGGGGGGCGCGCCCCCACTTTGGGAACCAGTGGTCTAACTAGACAAGTAGCACTCTTTGACGAATCGAAAGAAAATCGAATCCGTGCACGGAATGATGTAACTCCATACAAAAAAACACCGGAGCTAAGACCTTTTGACATTACAACTGTCACGTTCTGCCACTTGTCTTGTCTATTGTCACAGCAATTATTAATAATATCTTCAAAAAAATATCAAACTGCCTAAGATGGGAATCGAACCCACTACACTTCGATTGCCAGGCGAAAAAAATTGTTTTTTAATAACTGTCAATACAAGCTAAAAGAAATACAATAAATAGAAAAACTAAATAATGTATTTCTAAAGCTAGTTCACTAATGGTTCACTAACTAACTATGGGCAAAAAAGATATATTTTTCAATTTTCTTAAATAATGAAGAAAAAATATAATAATTTACTATGGAACTATGAAATAATCAGAAAATTTACCAATATTACATTATTTTCCAAATCCTGCAATGTTATCTTGGGAGAAGCATTTCATATTTATAAAATAAACTGGCGCACAGTGATTCGAGTAGAACAAGCTAGCTGGACAATATTATTTTTTTACTTTAATGGGTTTAATACACGCATTACTTACTTTTTTGTGCAATTTAAGATTAATTAGGCTTGTTA